TATTCTATTCTATTCTATTCTATTCTATTCTATTCTATTCTATTCTATTCTATTCTATTCTATTCTATTCTTCTCTTGCATTTGCCCCCCTGATTATGACACACATTTCTTGGAAGTTGCATTGGGTCTCCACTTTCCCAGTTTAAAAACAGCCCCTGTAAAGACACATCTCTTTCCCAACTGTTAATTATTACATTATTATTCATATTCATCTGTGTTTTTAAATTTTTAATATTTGATTTCATTTAACATTTTTTGTTAGACACATTGGTATTTGCCAGGATAGAAATGAGAAATATAAATCAGACAAAGCAAATTCAAGAGCTTAACTGATATTCCTTAACTGAAAGCCAAAACACATAAGTATATTCCCACTTGGCTACTTACATTATAGGATCCAGTGGTAATAAAAAGTGTCTGTTTGATTAAATTAGCATTGCATTAAAGTTACACTGAATTAAGAAAATGCAAATGAATACTATTCAGGGAAAAGAACACACTTTTATTGATTCCAGGAGAACACAGAGATCAGTATTTGGATTTCAAAATGTACTTGTATCATGTACTGCTGTTACAACATTGAACATTTCACCATTCTGTCAGTTCCATCCTGCTCTTGTTGTAGGCCGGGAAACCCAAGCTGCTACACAACCATAATTTAAAGTAGGTTGTGCTATTTCTTTTGGAAAGACAAAGAGAGATCTTCACATGGCAACATTCATTCATTCATTCATTCATTCATTCATTCATTTGTTTATTATTTGAAATGTGCCATATTTACAAATTTACCTGATGGTAAAGACTGCAACGACGACACCATTAAAGCCAACATCTTTAACACATTCTTCGGCTCAGTATTTGTAAACAGCAATGGATCATGCCCAGTATTTCCTAGCCGTACCACAGATAACAATAATGATCTAATACATATCGATTTCACAGAAGACAATGTTGAAAAATCACTACGCAATCTAAAACCATCTCTATCTATTGGACCGGATGGAATATGTGCCTACTTCTTAAGAAAGCTATCCACTGCCATAGCCAAACCTCTAAGCATAATCTTTGAAAAATATTTCAGGACCAGCTCCTTGCCTAACCTATGGTCACAAGCCACAGTCATCCCCATCTTCAAAAAGGGAGACCCAAGCCTAGTTGAAAATTACAGGCCAATCTCCTTATGCTGCGTCACCTGTAAAGTCATGGAATCTATTATTAACCAATCCATCATCCTCCACTTAGAGACAAATAACCTACTCTCCAATAAACAATTTGGTTTCAGAAAAAAACTATCCTGTAATCTACAACTCTTACACTGCAAAAACATATGGACGACACAACTCGACCAGGGCAAAGCAATAGACGCAATCTACATAGACTTCTGTAAAGCCTTTGATTCAGTGGTACACGACAAACTACTCCTAAAAATAAAATCCTATGGTATCTCTGGACAACTGAATAACTGGATAGAAGCATTCCTGTCAAACAGACAACAAATGGTCAAAATCGGGAGCGTCCTATCAAATCCAGTACCTGTCAATAGTGGTGTCCCCCAAGGCAGTGTTCTAGGACCAACTCTCTTCATACTCTACATAAACGACCTCTGTGATCATATCAAGAGCAATTGCGTTCTCTTCGCTGATGATGTAAAGCTGTTCAATACCACAGACAATACTGCTACCCTACAAAAAGATCTTGACTATGTATCAGAATGGTCAAACAAATGGCAACTTCAAATCTCAACAAATAAATGCTCTGTCTTACATATTGGCAAAAAAAATCAGAAAATAAAATACAAGCTGAATAGTCAAGAACTTGTTGATGACCCAAGCTCTGTAAAGGACCTTGGAATACTCACCTCTAATGATCTAAGTGCTAGAGCCCACTGCAACTACATAGCCAAAAAGGCATTAAGAGTTGTTAACCTAATCCTACGTAGCTTTTTCTCTGGTAATATCACACTACTAACCAGAGCATACAAAACATTTGCTAGACCAATACTCGAATACAGTTCATCAGTCTG